CCCACCTGGGCGGCCCGCCCGCTGCCCACCGCCGCTCCGGCTCGGCACCTTGAAGAAGAGCTTCATGTTGGTGCAGCAGAACTGGTAGGTGCGGTACAGCCCCTTGAGCACGGACACCGACAGGGAGATGCCGTTCAGCACCTCCTCGATCTCACCCTGCAGGCCTTTCAGCACCTCGTCGGGGCCCAGGTAGGTCCGCGTCTGCGGGAAGACAAGGCGTGGCACAGCTCTGCCCGAGGGCTGGCAGGCGGGTAGGAAACCAGCCACCGTGGGCCCGGGACCTGCTTCTCGGGACACAACCCGCCTGCCGCCTGCAACCTGCCAGGTGGTCATCGGGGACCGTGCTGCCCCCTCACCTGGGCCCTCCTCCCTGGTCACAGGTGACTAGACCCTCCCGGTGGGGCTGGGACAACCTGCTTCGGCTGCAGGGAGGTGTCGGGGGCGGGTCCGGGCCGCAGTGCCCTGCGGGGCCTGCAGACAGGGCTGTGGGCGCCATCTGAATGCCCACGGGCAGGTGGGCAGCTGGTGCAGAGGAGAAGGGAAGGGCCTCGGGTTGAGGGAGACGGAGGCAGCTCAGTACAGGACCCGGGACCCCACAGAGCCCCGGCCCCGCCTTGGGGCGGGCGGCAGAGCCCCTTCCTTGGCTCCTCGTGGCCTGTGCGTGCCCTGCGGGCGGCGGGCAGGGGCGCCTACCATGTCCATGACCTGGTTGCAGAACTCCTGCAGGATGACGATGACCCTGGAGGGCGTGTTGTAGTGCTTGGAGTTGGCCCAGATGAGGCAGATGGTGTACAGCACCTTGGCGATGAAGGTCGGGAGCTGCGGGGACACGCGGGGCGCTCGGTCGTGTCATCTCAGCTGTCCCCGCAGGAGACCCCAACGCGGAGGGAGAGGCACTGTTCGCAGTCAGCCGCCCACTGCCCTGCTCCCGGGACGCGAGCCCCGCCCCTGCCGATGGCCTTCCTCTCGCTGATGCGGACGTACCACCGTGAAGTCCGCCTGCTCCATCTCCTCCAGCAAGATCCGCAGAGGCTTCAGGTGCAGGACAATGTCGTTGGCCTCCTTCAGCCCTGCACACAACCAACAAGGTCAAGGTCAAGTGCGCATCCATATGGGAGAGAACACCAGCCCACCGCCACTGGTCAGACAAAACCCGGCGGGCTCTGCGTTAGGGAGCCCTGCTCCCTCCAAACGCAGCAGCTTCGCCCGGCCTGTGTGGCTCAGTGGTCGAGCATCGACCTTTGAATCAGGAGGCCACGGTACAATTCGCAGTCACGGCACAGGCCAGGGTTGTGGGCTCCATCCCCAGTGTGGGGCGTGCAGGAGGCAGCCGGCCAATGATTCTCTCAGCGTTGCTGTTTCTCTCTTGCTCGCTCTCCCTTCTCTGAAACCAATAAACATATATTTAAAACACACACAGGACTGGGGCGTGCAGGAGGCAGCCGGCCAATGATTCTCTCAGTGTTGCTGTTTCTCTCTCTCGCTCGCTCTCCCTTCTCTGAAACCAATAAAAATATATTTAAAACACACACAGGACTTCCTGTGTGGGGGCCTGGAAGCTGCTCCTGGTGGGGGGGGGCAGCCGAGCCCCGGGGTTGGTGCCCTGCCCCAGGCCCTCTGGGAGGCACCGGCGGCATCCTCGGGGTCCCCGCTCACCGTCAGTGACGTTCAAGTACACGTTCTGCAGGGCTGGCCAGTAGCAGCTTTGGGCTTTTTCCAGGATCTCAACGATTCTGTTCACTTTGGGCCGGTTCAGCTGAGGAGGAGAGGAGGACGTGGGCCTTTCAGGAGAAACGCAGACCCTGCGGCCTG